CGGCTTATGATTGAAAACGATTTTGAAAATTATTCCGCATGTGTTTCTTTTGAACGAAAAATCGAAATTTATTTTAGGGAGAAATAACGACTATTTCTAACCTTAGGGATGAAGTATGAAAGGATGATTTGTGAAGAGCAATGATAAATGGAAAAATAAAGTGTCCAGGGATGGGAATCGAACCCACATTGTTCCGCTTACTGGGCAGATACCATGTCCACTTTCACATCCCTGGACACTTTATTTTTCCGTTTATCATTACTCTTCACAATTCATCTTTTCATACTTCATCCCTAAGGTTAGAAATAATGGTTATCTCTCCCTTAAATAAATTTCGATTTTTCGTTCAAATGAAACGCATGCGGGATAATTTTCAAATGTAGTTTTATATATATATATTGTTGCAGGGGCATTATTGTTTATAATCACATGCCATCTCTGTTCAACACGTCATAAACCACTGCACACACACACATATATATATATTATATTTAAAAAAAAAGTTGAGAGTTTCTGCTTGATATTTGATTCATGTTGAGGATTATTGTAATGGTGGTGCAGTCGTGGCTATAATAATAATAATAGTCTTGATCAGAGGTTTCTTTAATTGAGCTAAGTGATATATATGAAAAACATAATTTGATTAACGTACTGCCTGGCTTAAGGCGTAAGAATAAAAAAATGAAAAGCGTATTTACATAATGTACAAATGTTTTGGGCCGACCAACGGGGAAGAACAACAATGAGTATTTATAGAGAAAGCTTGACCTCTGGCGGTCGATTTATACAGAGTATTTATATCTATGAAATTATAATTTTAAATAAAATATTTCAATATAACATTTTAAATAATATCTTAATATAACATTTCCCCCCTGTGAAGAAAATAATATGGGTACAGAGAAAATTGATAAAAATATAGTTTAAAAAATGGTAAAATGATTAGAAAGAAAATAACATCATATAAAGTATGAATGATAATAAAATGTTTGGGAGAAAGTGAAAAATAAAAATGTGATATTCCATAATCATATTGGTTTGTTGTTAACCAATAGAGACAGGAAATTACAAAAGGTAAATGATAAAAATGTAAATGATTACAAACATTATTGGTAGAGTGTGAAAATGAAAAGCATGATTATCAAAAGTGAAATAAAAGAGTGATATTCCTTGATCATATTGGCTTGTTGTGAGCCAATAGATTGGAAAAGACATGAGAAGATGATACATAATAAGAATGAAGAAAGAAAATAAAATGCATGATTATTAAAAATCAGAAATAAAAGGATGATATTCCTTGATCATATTGGCTTGATGTGAGCCAATATATTGGGAAAAACATGAGAAAATAGCATTATTAAAAATAAGAAAAATGCATGATATTTACAAAAGTATATAAATGAAAAATTATGAATAACATTGAAAACAATATGAAAAATAATTGGCAAAAGATATATGGCAATGCTAAAACATTTGATGATTATAAGAAGAAGTTGGGACAAAGTTTATGTACAAAAGGCAAATGTGAAAACAAAGAATGAACATGTAAAGATGTTTAAAAAATAATGGTAAGAACAAAGAATGGTCATTTTGAAGAAAAAAGAATCAAGGTGGACAAAACAAAAGTTGAAATTTACATATGTTGGTCTCGTTAAATTTACATATTTGTTAGGCACGATTTCAGATATTAATTGCACATGATACAAGTAATGGGGGCAAAAATGCAAATTTTTAAAATCAAAACATTATTAAATGAGATTAAATAAGAAAATATTAAAAGTAAGGGAATTCTAAACAAGATAGAAAGGTGAAGCTATAGGGTATTGTGGTCATCAACGAAAATATATAGTAGAAATACGATTTTTTTTTAAATGCTAAAGATAGTATAATAAAATATTGAAGATGTGGGAAATAGGTAATGTTATTTTGTTGTTGTCCTCCTGGCCGACTGTTTTACATATGGTACTATATCTTGAAATTGTTTGAAGGGTGTAAATGGTTTAACTTAAATGCAAATATTTAAAAGTAAAACATAAAATGAGTTATATTTAGTAACTAATTATACAAAGGAAAATAAGGTTTAAAAGGATTGAAGGGTATGATACTATTTAAAAGGAAAAAAAAAACAGCTATGGTATAATTGATATATAAAAATAATATGACAAAAAGGATATATCTAAGCAAATATGCGATTGAAAACTATTGTAAATAATGGGTGATAACAAAGTTAAAATGAGGAAAACTACGAAAGATGGTGGATACAAAGTACCTTGGGTTGGATGATGCTGGCTGGAGTTGGCTGTAGTTGACTGGTGTTGCAGATGTTGGGTGGAGTTGATCTTCGGAGATGGCTGTATGGAAGAAGACTGCTTGTAGCTAGAAACTGCTGGAGATGGAGATATCCGGAGTTGTCTGGTGTTAACTGGAATTGTTTGCTGGTTGCGTTGGAGCGGATGATGACTATGTTTGCTTGTGATGAAGGCTATGTTTGTTTGGAGAAGGCTATTTTCGGTTGAAATGAGCTATTTTTGTAGGTGAAAATGTCTATTTTTGATTGGAGAGGATTTTTTTGATTGAATAATTTGCATATTAGTAAATGAACCATTTTTAGGTGAAGGATTTGCATAGTTGAATTTGAAAAATTTTGCTTTTGGCATATTGAACAAACAGGCAAATATCCTGTCGGCTTATATTATATTTAAAAAAAAAGTTGAGAGTTTCTGCTTGATATTTGATTCATGTTGAGGATTATTGTAATGGTGGTGCAGTCGTGGCTATAATAATAATAATAATAGTCTTGATCAGAGGTTTCTTTAATTGAGCTAAGTGATATATATGAAAAACATAATTTGATTTACGTACTGCCTGGCTTAAGGCGTAAGAATAAAAAAATGAAAAGCGTATTTACATAATGTACAAATGTTTTGGGCCGACCAACGGGGAAGAACAACAATGAGTATTTATAGAGAAAGCTTGACCTCTGGCGATCGATTTATACAGAGTATTTATATCTATGAAATTATAATATCAAATAAAATATTTCAATATAACATTTTAAATAATATCTTAATATAACATATATATATATGTGTTTGTGAAAAATATATACAAATAAAAAGGTCAGGTCTTGATATTAAAAACAAATTATAAATTCACTCACCGCTAACATGAGCTTTTTTAGATGGCAGAGCGCCATCTAGTGGAACAGAAATCAACTAAACTTCGAGCTAACTTGTTCCCTGACATTTGTCCAACCCATTTTCTTGATATATCAAGAAAAGCCAACCACGAACGCGTTTTCGGACTGTTGGCCCTTGTCAGAGTGGTGTAAGCTGTACCTCTAAGACCAATAATATTTTTGTCCCAGGCGACAATTTTATTCCCATAATTGTCCGCTTCTAGATATTTTCTAGCTTTAAATTTACAACCCTTTTCTTAAGTTAAGAAAAAAAGACATCTCCTTATCGTGCAACTAAAAGTTTCTGATGGCTTGTGCCATCTATCGGAATAAATATCAACTATTCGTTGGTTTTTTTAATTATTCCAGAATTGGCCAAATACCCATTCTTGATTAATCAATAAAAGAGAACCACGTACGCGTTTCGATCTGTTGAACTCGTCAGTGTGGTGCAAGCTGGAATAATTAAAAATCAACGAATAGTTTATATTTATTCCGAAATTGGCGCAAACCATCAGCAACATTTAGTTGCACGATAAGGAGATTCCATTTTTTCTTATTTATGCAACTTATCCCAGTACAATTTAACATTTGTTCTTTTTTCACCTTTTCTTAAGGTTTTTTAAATGGTTGAAAAGAGTTTAATGAAGACAGAAATGTGGCTCAGAGTTCTAAATTAATGAACCTTCAGATCAGCCAAAGAATAAAGATCTCTTTCATCTATCGATTCAAATATTGACAATTGATACATTGATTATTTATTTCATTTCAAAAAGCATTAAATGTATATTTTAACATGTTTAGCATTTTGGTTCAGATATATGACAGACGAATGTTCATGTTAATTCTAGTGCGTAAAAATTCACCAAAGTACATGTCGCATGTGGGCGTCTACACTAGTATATTAATAAAGTGCCATCAATAATAAATAGAAAAATATTAGGACGTTCCAATTTATTAAGAGTGAATACGCCTGAAACTTTTAACTAATTAATCACTGAATTTTAGAACAATTTCATCTCTCAAAATTCATAAAATGGTCGACATTATATAAATAATTAGACAATTATAATGAAATATGAATTGATACTAAAAATAATATACCTATATAAACCTTAACTTTGAACTTTAAAAGTTTCCTTTAACTTTTTTTTCGATTTTTTTTAAATGACCATTTCCAAACTTCGGTAAAGAAACACTGAAGTTGAGGTAGCTAAGACCTCTTCTAACCGAGGGCTCCGTCAAATGAAAATCAATTTTATTTAGAAACACAATCGATAGTATAAAAGTAAAGATATTTAAAAAATATTAGGAGTGTAAAGTAGGTATTTTTCTCATTAAAAGTTTTTGCCATCGGCTGTGGTGGAATTTCTATTCTTTTTAACAAATTGCGTTGAAATATTCAGCTGTAGAATACCGGGCAGAAATATTTCAACAATTTTTCTAAATGAACAGGAGAGTTGTATAACTGAGTTACTCCGAGCGGATAACAAAGTGAAAAAACTCGGCCTGGGAGAAAAGGTTTGTTAATGAATCGACAATGTACGGCGCAGGGTGAATACTGGGAGAGATCTACGTTTAGGTGCTATAGTGTAGAGATTTATATAGATAACTTGGGTGTGCTGAGGAATTATTTTTATAAAAAAATGTGCCAGTCACGTATACAACGGAGAAATTAGTTTTATTTTAATAATATCGACACATAAAAATTCGTAACTATTATAGACGCGTATAAATATTTAAAAAATAAAACAATTTCTTCTACTCTTACTGCAATTAAAAAATTAATGGGAGGGCCTGACCCATCAGTGGTGAAGCCTCCCAGCGGTTTCGCCAGTTTAATCTACCATACCGCTGTTTTATTGCATTTTTCGTTCTTCCTTTTATAACGAAACTGATGCTAGAGTCTTGAAATGGGTATTTTATATGAACTATGGACATAAGCTTTGAGGACAGAAGAATTACATACAATTATAAATATATAATATGCTTCGAGTGATCTCTCTTCCAGGCCCTCCCATTAATTTTTCCATTGCAGTAAGGGCAATAGAAATTGTTT